TATAAGAGACAGGCATATAATTATGCAATCGTAGCAGTATACTCAAACAGGCGACATATACTTATCTTTTATTTAAGAAATACATTAACAGTGCTGTCTCTTATACACATCTAGATGTGTATAAGATATATATATATACATATTTATGCATATATATGAAATACGATATAGGGATAAACTATCTCATTACTCACGTTCAGCACAATCTGTTCCAGTGTAACATGTGGGACAAGCACATGTATACATATTACAAGTGGTCGCTTGACATACTCCACCATTTAGGCAAACGAGTTCATTACACGCATTGTTCAGATCTATTTAAAAAGTAATGAAAGCTTAAGTTAAGGGTATCTTATCTTGATCATGATATTACATGTAATGCATCTTTTCTAAGTGTACTATAATATACAGTAGTACAGCAGGAGGAACGACTGGGAGCAACTTGTTTACCCCGCATATTTCTGTAGTTGGATTCACCACACCTTCGTGGTCTTGTAGTTATATATGTTCGACACTGATGCAAAATTTTGGACTGGAGTCACAGTGGAGGTTGCTTTTTTTCATTCTTACGTTTCTATTATTATTAATTCATAGATTCACAGCCAACGTCTTCGTGGTTTAGTTTTTATGACATTCGTCATTTCTGGATTTAAGAATTTAGTGTCAGATTCCTCTTCAATTACATCAACAAGTGATTGTATGCAGGCTTGTTGTAGAATATTATCAGTACATATAGTTATAAAATTTCGTTTCCGTTCACACCCACCTTTGACATGTCACAGGCACTATCCTATCTCACTCTTATGTACTATCTCAAAAGGCTCTGACGTTCATTATTCATGTTGTTAAAGTTCATCATTATTAATTAATTGGATAGATTATACGTACATGTGTCACATAGGTCCCCAATGTAACATTGCTGACAAACGCACTGAAAATCACATGCGTTTGGAACACAAATTCCATAAGCACCACATGGGTTGTTTTCACATGGGTTGGTATCTGCAATAAAATAAAATTAAAGCTAAATAATTTGATGTGCTTCAGTAATACATTAATACACAATGTCCGAGTTCAGTAACAACAGAATAATCTATGCTATACTATGAATGGCCGAAATCCAACGCAATATTATGGTACCAAACTTAAATGGAAGATGGTACTTTTAAGACTGTACATATAAAATAAAGATTTTATTACAATTTTACTTTAACTACATCAATTTGTAAAATCACCAATTGTAATATGCCCTAGACCTGCAAAAAAGGCCTCAAATATTACGGTTAAATTTACATTCGTTCCCTTTTTGATTTGTACAGTTGAAGCTTGTCAATTATTCAGGTAGTCAATGACAACCACTTGTTCTGTTGATTTCAGAATAGTTAAAAACTTTGTTATTATTATTATTATTATTATTATTATTATTATTATTATTATTATTATTATTATTATTGTTATTGTTATTATTATTATTATTATTATTTATTATTATTATTATTAATATAATGAGTTGATTAAATTATTTTAGTTGATTATTATGACAATATTTTTTTTTTAATTGACGCAGTAATAATTTTTGATTACTATTGAGCACCCTAATTATTAAAATAATATGTAATAACATGAAAATAATTTTAATAGCATTGAGTCGCCTTAAGCTCCTGTAGAAAGGTGAGTGGTGTAGGCCAAGTGTGGCGCCAGCAGTGGGGGGCCGGGGGGCCAGGGCTCCGTCGGGGAAAGGTGGCCCCTCTTCGGGGAGGAACCACAATTCGTCGAGGAGGAAAAATGTGTATGTATTTTCTACATATTAGCAGACTCCAAAATCGATTAAATAAGCCTTTGAAACCCCAAATTGGTCTTGCCCTAATTTGGATCTATGATTCTTAGCAAGAAAAAACAAGTTAATGAATGAATGCTCAAACGTATCGTATATACGGTATCTTACAATGTTCACAGGACGGTCCGTAATAACAGTTTGGACATGGACACTGGAAGCTACACAGGCCATTGACTGATGTTGGTTGGCATGTACCACCAAATATACAAACAACACCGGCGCAACGATTTTCAACTGAAATATAAAACAAATGTTATTAGATCCATCTTTATGAAAATTATTGTTTAAAACATTTCTAGTAGCATCTTTTCGTTATCTTAGTAAATATTTTTTTGTTTACATATTGTTTACATTTTTCATAGTTTTTTTGTGTTTATTGTCTTACTCAATTTTAAAAGTTTCTGTCATTTATTTGAAACACGTACCGGTGGGCTATTAAAAAAAGTCATATAAATATAAATTAAATATAGAACAAGATTTGGCTGCTCAAGAAGAAACGCCTCTGTCAGTAGATAATGCTTCTAAATTGCATTTTGATATGCCAGGCCCATACAATCTCTTATCAGTGATGTTTGCTGCTACAGACTGTTTATATACTTTAATATAATATGTGAGTTGGTGTATTATTATACGACTGTAAATTTTACAATAAAATATTAATAAAAAAAAATGTAGCATTACGTACATTGATTACATAGGTCTCCACTGAAACACGGTTGACATTCGCAATCAAAGTCACATCCGTTTGCAACGCATGTACCAAAAGCACCACATGGGTTATTTTCACAAGGGTTGCTGTCTGAAATGCAATAAATAAAACAACCTATTTAATAGTACCATAAACTTATCCTAGTCTGTCGTTAATATTGTAGTGTAATCAAATGTCTACATAAATTATCAACAAAGTAATCAACATGTATGTGTAGAACGCCAATATCCACTGCAGAATGCAATGTTCATTAGCATTATGATAATGGTAGGCCTATTACACAAAGTGCACAATAACTACTGACGTTAATTTACAATATTATAATTGTAAAATTACTACAAAAAAAATGTGTCAAAAAATTAGAAGGGCCAACATGACATTTTACTTTTTATGTATACTAAATGATTTCAATATATAAATTGCTGATGTTATGTGGAATAATTTCGTTACAATATATTACTTACATAATTCACAGAGTGTACCAAAGTAGCATCGTGGGTCACACAAACACAATGCGCCGCACTGTCCATTAGAAATGTCCGGCACACATGTGCCCACTGCACACCTTATGTTTTGACATGGATCAGTATCTAAACCAAAAATAACACTTCAGAATTCAAAAATATTGAAACTAGATTGGAATATGAATGATAACAGTTTATTATTTAATATGTGTGATAGGCCTACATTCTTAAAAATAGGCTCCCAATGGTATTGTGTGTCTACTGCATGACATAGTATTTTTTTTTATATAACTTTTTAACTCATAAACCATCCACAGTTTCTGTGTTTGCAATTCACTTGAATAATACAGATTGTTGACTTTTTAGTTCTTTCTAGGACAGGTCTTATCTAGACATAGCATCATATTTCGTATCTTTAGCTTATGACGCATCCCGTCACTCCCCAACCGCATTTACTCTCACAACTTAAAACTGAGAGGATAGCTAAGCTCCTACAACCCATAGGGGCAGTACACACAAAACGAACGCCATAAAGTAGCATGACCAACTTTATTTAAACCCATAATTGTATGTTGAGCTGCCCCAAGGGTGATGTAATGGTTGAACAGCAACTTACACACCGTACATGGAACACCTGAATAACAGGGTTCACACGTGCATTGGAACGCGCATGGGTTATCTGGATCAACCGTGCATACTCCGATAGTACAGTCACCGGTAACACTACAGCTAGTATCTGTCAATAAAATCACGTTCAGAAGCTTATGTAATTGTTAAATAATTGCATACAAATATTTGTCTATTCTTCATAATATTATCAGCAAGTGAAAACTAATCACGTTACAACATTAATGGTGTTGCATTTCTATATAAACGATAGTTACTGGTAACATATATCCACAAACTCGTACATAAACATATAAACAAAATGCTTTCTTACAAGTTTTACAATTGGGTCCCGAGTAGCATTCCACACATTCGCAATTATATCCAGAAGGAGATTGGCTTGTGTCTGCCACACATGTCCCGCCATTTTCACATATCACACCTGCGCAAGGGTCTACACCTACACATTTAATCAAAAGGTAAATATGATTATTTTTGTTATTATGACTTGCAGATTTTCATAGAGGTAAATTCAGAATATGAGGGGATAAACTGGCTTGAGCCCATCTAAATGCTTGTATCAATCAATTTGTTAATGATGTTAATTTAAAACCTATGAAAATATTAGTTCATCAAGTACACACACGTCATGAGGGGACGATCATACTCCCATGTTGAAGGAGGTGAATAATCAAATTATGTGAAATTTGGTATCCCCCTCCCCACCCTCTAAAAACAATCCTGGATCCACCCCTGAGATAACCTTAAACATTTGATATTATTAGGCATAATTATATATGTATCACACGTATTCTTACTTTGTTCACAAAATATACCAGTAAAGCCATCGGTGCATTCGCATCTATATTCACATTTTCCTCTGGAAGTGTCTAAAGCACAAGATCCGCCGTTGAAGCAATACCCATCACTGCAAGGATTGTAATCTGTAAAAGTAACGCATATAATTATGCAATCGTAGCAGTATACTCAAACAGGCGACATATACTTATCTTTTATTTAAGAAATACATTAACAGTGCAATTGAATGCATGGCCATAGCCAATTAGTGACCTAGTGTGACTTAAGGCCAACTCAGACGCAAAGGTTTGCGCTGGGAATAGTCATCGCAGATAATAATATGTCTCTAATAAAAGTAAAATACGTATATAATATAAATAAACACAAAAGTATTTTGTTATGAATACTGTATGGTAATAGACAATTATTTTTTGTAGATAATTGCCTGTCTTATATAGGACAACTCGGTAAATAATTTCTCAATATTTATTATAGTAAAACTAGAACGATTTGTCTTACAAATACCCAGATAATTATCTAAAGTATTCTAAGTCATATCAATATGTTTACAATATTTATTCATTGAACACTTAAAAATAGATCCAATGAAAACATGGATAGAATATTAATTTACAAGTTGAACAGGCGTAGCCAGAGTAACATAGCGGGCAGTTGATACACGATGCACTGCACTCGTCTTGAGGGCTGACTACGCACGCAGTTCCATCTGCACACTGAAGTGACGTACACGGATTTGTATCTGTAAGAAACACACATTCAAGACGCTTATATTGGCAACGTGGTGAGACGTATAGGCCTACGTAGCGTCTATTATTAAATGTATTCATATATTTACATCCATATAACATATTACAGGATAAACATTATTATGTATGGAGTGCTAGACCACATATTGTATAGGTCCCCTTCAACTTCTTCGATAAATCAATCTTAACCAGCGATTTTTAGATTGAATAATTTTGACCAGAGAGTTAGAACTAATATGGATAAGTTGTAGTGTTAATGGGGATGGGAAGCGCCGCGTTGGGGAGAGTTGACAGGGGAACTAATAATATAATTATGTTAAATTATAATTTTTACAATTTATCCAAGTCTGAAGTCAATGATAATTACATATTGAACAATCGTAGCCAGAGTAACAGGGTTGGCAGTTGATATGCCTACACGATGCGCTGCAGACGTCTTCAGGATTCACAACACAAGTGGTGCCTCGGACACACACAATTATAGAACATGGAGTGGTATCTGCAAACAACATATTAACAATTAAGGCAAGTTGATAGTTTGGACAGGGCTTATTTCATCTAATGGAATAATCAAGAATTCATATGTAACTATGTCTTACCATGGAGGTACATTAGTGAGAGGATTCTCAGTAAATCTAAGACGAATGCTGTCAGTTATGTCTATACCGTAAAACCTCGAATTGAAACCCTGGGCTTCTTTGTTTTATGCGAACGTTGGATGGGCTTCTTTTGCAAAGTAAAGAGTGGAGGGGTGGGGGGGGGTTTCTGTTCAAAGCGAATGCTGTAAATTTTTGGGAATTTGCACTATAAAACATCAATCGGTATCGTGGAGTGTATTAACTGGCATTAAATCATATAAACTACTGTATAAACCAAGCGTGTTTTTAATTAATTAATTAATTTTTTTTTTAAATTCATGTACAGGCGTGTATGTACAGTACTATGTCGAAAAGAAGCCTATGCTATCTTGAAAAGAAGCCCATGGGCTTCTTCTCGAGGCTAATTTGCAAACTAAATATGAGGGGGGGGGGGGCTTCATTTCGAGATGGACTTCTTCTCGAGATTAAGCCCATTGGGATTTAATTCGAAGTTTCACGGTATGAGGTTAGTATTTGCGAACCTAAGTGTAATAATAAATGTAATTATGTAATTGTATAACATATTGATGGAAATAATATAGTTTTCTAAAAATAATTATTAATATTTATCACTATAAATGGAGGTGTTTATATGCCAAAGTTCCAATCACACAATTTATTATTATAACTATTATTTATTGTTAAGTATTACGAAATAGCCTAATTATTTGTTCGTCCTAATCGAAAAGGTTAAGACTTTTTAGCTTGGCCTTATGGATAAGTTGGTATAGAATTTTAACTGTAATCAAAAGGTGTTAGGTTCGAATTCCAATGTGATTCTTTAGAAATTATCGATATCACCAGTAGAAGTTAATATCATGTGATTTTTTTTTCAGAAATAAATCTTGATATACGGCAATAAAACTAAATGATGTAAAAATAGAAACTTATTCAAGTTTGCCATGTATACCATTTTTATTAAGCAACTTACATATTGAGCAATAACTGGTAAGCGAGTGGGAATAGCAGGTCAGGCATCTACAGTACGCTTGCCCATTACTGACTTCACACGTACCATAAATCCCACAATCCAGGTAACTACATGGGTCGCTACTAACATAGGCTATAGCAAGAATACGACAAATACAATAGTGTGGTGGATTAAACATGTTACCTCATCAAGAACGTCATATATTAATAAACAAGTATTGCACAAATGGCTTTTTAAAAAAAAGCATTTTCTGTGAGAATAATGAACCTCTCCCCTGTGTGTCTGGGCTAGGATTACGCGAGTGTCCTACAGACACATTTGTTGTCCCGCAAACAAACGTGTGAGCGTGTGCCGTTTGTGTAGCAATATCCAAGGGGCGGGGTTTGGCGGAAAAGTTAATTACATTAGTCTGAGTTTATGATAACTTATTCTGTCTAAAAATAATATAACTAATGGTAATTCTCATAATAATAACAACATTAACAACAGCAATAACAATAATAATAATAATGATTTGCCTAATTGTAATAGCTGGCTACCAATGGACCTAATGATAAAAATTAAAATAGGCCTAATAATATTAGAACTACAAATAATAATAATAAAAATCATCATTCAGATAACAATAGTAATAAGAATAAGAACAAATATAATATTAAAAGAAAATATAACACCAATATTAAAATATAACAACAGTTACATGATGATAATAATATTAATAATAATAATAGTTATTATTATAAATAAACAATAATAAATGATGATGATGACAAAAATAATAATAACAATAATGTGGAAATTACAATTATGTAATTATTACCTCTTTTAATAATACTAATAACAAGCATTTACACCTCACAGACATGTAATAGTAAAAACTAAAAAAATACCAGAAATATACACATGTCTACATTAATATAATAACGGTATTGTGAAGTTGCTTTTAAAATATCGTTTTTACATTTTAAATAATGACGAACAGCTTACACGGATATCAAAGTTTGAATTCTTGGATTAGATGGGCGAGTATAGTCCTAACCGCAAAGCTACAGCTTCGCTAAGATTATAATATATCAAGTCCAACTAAATTGTATAGCTATAATCTAGGCCTGCAATATAAGCTAACGCTGTCACGAATCGTGTAAAATAAATAAATGCTATAATAATAATAATAATAATAATAATAATAATAATAATAATAATAATAATAATTATAATAATAAAAGTAATAATAATAATATATTGATAATTAAAATAATATATTAATAATAATAATAATAATAATAATGATGATAATAATAATAATAAATATTGAGGTGGTATATGTAACATCTGGCGGTATGTGCATGTTTGTGTTCTATATTATTTACATCTAAAAAATAATTCCCTATTTTGCAGTGTAATTCGTTTATAGGCTATCCTAATTATTTATAATCATGAGAATGCAACTTACCATAGCCACTCGTAAGTTCCAGTCTTAACAGGATATAAGCAATTGTAAAAAGCATTCCGCGCAACAAAATATTATGCATCGATAATTTGTCGTGATTGTTTTTTTAACCTATATATCGTCTAAAGAATATTCTAAGGTTTAATCAACTGATAGTAATCGCTCTTAGTCGTACCTTTTATAGGGTGTACGTCGTCCCTAGATTAGATTTTAAGTCGGGCTAGCACCACTTGTAAGGTAACGGAATTAGATTTAATGACAATGAAGCTATTACATTCCTAGTATTTGAAATACTTAGAAGGAGGTATCTATTCATTGGCTCAAAACAGAAAATTAATCTCATCTTAATTTTGAGCAATATCAGAAAATTTGGGGATAAATTGTTGACATATTTGCCTGACTAGATCGGAAAAGAAATAGCGGAGGTGTTGTCATGATGATATCCTCGTCGTATTTCATACAAATTGATACAGACTCTATACAAATTGAATCTTTAGCCAAAGACATTGGTATTAATGGATCAAAAACTATCACTGTTGCTGTTGGATACCGTCCACCATCATCATCACCAACAACAGAGTTTTTAGATAATCTGGAGCTTTTATTTAAACAATTGGCTACCGTATTTTTGCTTAATTGTTTGCAATGGTTGGCTGGTGATCTGAATTGTGATTTCTGCAACCCATTTAAAACACTGACAATGGAGAGTTTCAATCTCACCTAATACACTGGCCTCTCCGAAGGAGAGGTGAAAGGTATTGCAAATAGCTCGTGTTTGTGTGTGTGGCGTGTGTGTCGTTCAGGGGGCACATTTAAGAACTGGAGCGATTTACTACAAATTTACACATACTGACTATGTTACATTATGGCTACATGTATCCTGGTCCTCCATAAAATTTGGTGCTTATCGTAAGTAAGTTGCAGATTTCAGAGGGTTTGTGATCTCAGATTTTCATGTTAATATTATCTTACAACTAATGCGAATATGCACCTCACTTCACTTTCACTTGCGGTATAAAGTCACCATAAGATTATATGGACATCTTTAAGCTTTAAGTCTTGCACAGCCCTTCAGTAAATCTTTCCGAAAGTTTATTCATATTATGAGTTTATTTATGCTCCGTGGCACGATGTTACAAATTTAAAATGCATTATCTACTTTATATAATAGGCTCCTATCTTTAATAGCAATTGCAATCGACATACACCTTGGTAACTAGACGTTTTAGATCGAAATTACTAGATTGGCTTAATAATAGAAGCAGGGGGAAGTGATGCATTTGATCGTATGCATCTACATTTCATACCTTTGCACTTTACCTCACATTTTGTTAAATTAATTGCCAAAACAGTACCCCTGCGCTGCTTACATCTGTACACTCTTATCTCTAGGCAACAATATTACCCTGGCCATAATCTTCGTTCATCAGGTTCTTTGTATATTTTTACCTTCGTATATCTCGTTCTAATAGGAAAGCTGGTAATCTTGGTTTTCGTCGGCTTCTCAAGAAACATTTGTTCCCCAAATATATCTCACTTAACTATTAAAGTTTTCTGTTTTGTTGTCATTTTTGGTGCCTTTGCTGATCAAAAATTATTTTCGTTTTTATTTATTTTTATTGTGCCTTTATTGTACTTGGCAAAAGGCGCGGTAAAGGTTCCTGTATTATTATTATTATTATTATTATTATTATTATTATTATTATTATTATTATTATTATTATTATTATTATTATTATTATTATTATTATTATATTATTATTATTATTATTA